CCAACTGCAATTGTTGTACAACTCCCAAATCCCTTGGCTTGGGACCTCAGGTGACACAAAAATGACCAATCCAGTGCTACAAGTCCTATAAATAAGGATGTTGATGATGATAATAATAATTTATACACCACCCATCTGGCTGGGTTTCGCCAGCTACTCTGGGTGGCTTACAGCATATATAAAAACATAGAAAAACATCAAGCATTAAAAACTTCTCAATAGAGGGCTGCCTTCAGATGTCTTCTAAAAGTAATGTAGTTCTTCATCTCCATGACATCTGATGGGACGGTATTCCACAGGACGGGCGCCACTACTGAGAAGGCCTTCTGGCTGGTTCCCTATAACCTCACTTCTTGCAGTGAGGGAACCAGCAGAAGACCCTTGGAGAAGGACCTCGGTGTCCATAGAATCATAGAATAGAATCATAGAATCATAGAATCATAGAGTTGGAAGAGACCACAAGGGCCATCGAGTCCAACCCCCTGCCAAGCAGGAAACACCATCAGAGCACTCCTGACATATGGTTGTCAAGCCTCTGCTTAAAGACCTCCAAAGAAGGAGACTCCACCACACTCCTTGGCAGCAAATTCCACTGTCGAACAGCTCTTACTGTCAGGAAGTTCTTCCTAATGTTTAGGTGGAATCTTCTTTCTTGTAGTTTGGATCCATTGCTCCGTGTCCGCTTCTCTGGAGCAGCAGAAAACAACCTTTCTCCCTCCTCTATGTGACATCCCTTTATATATTTGAACATGGCTATCATATCACCCCTTAACCTCCTCTTCTCCAGGCTAAACATGCCCAGCTCCCTTAGCCGTTCCTCATAAGGCATCGTTTCCAGGCCTTTGATCATTTTGGTTGCCCTCCTCTGGACACGTTCCAGTTTGTCAGTGTCCTTCTTGAATTGTGGTGCCCAGAACTGGACACAGTACTCCAGGTGAGGTCTGACCAGAGCAGAATACAGTGGCACTATTACTTCCCTTGATCTAGATGCTATACTCCTATTGATGCAGCCTAGAATTGCATTGGCTTTTTTAGCTGCCGCGTCACACTGTTGGCTCATGTCAAGTTTGTGGTCAACCAAGACTCCTAGATCCTTTTCACATGTACTGCTCTCAAGCCAGGTGTCCCCCATTTTGTATTTGTGCCTCTCATTTTTTTTGCCCAAGTGCAATACTTTACATTTCTCCCTGTTAAAATTCATCTTGTTTGTTTTTGCCCAGTTCTCTAACCTGTCAAGGTCATTTTGAAGTGTGATCCTGTCCTCTGGGGTGTTAGCCACCCCTCCCAGTTTGGTGTCATCTGCAAATTTGATCAGGATGCCCTTGAGTCCATCATCCAAGTCGTTGATAAAGATGTTGAATAAGACCGGGCCCAAGACAGAACCCTGTGGCACCCCACTAGTTACTCTTCTCCAGGATGAAGAGGAACCATTGATGAGCACCCTTTGGGTTCTGTCAGTCAGCCAGTTACAAATCCACTGAGTGGTAGCATAGTCAAGACCGCATTTTACCAGCTTCTTTACAAGAATATCATGGGGCACCTTGTCAAATGCCTTGCTGAAATCAAGGTAGGCTACATCCACTGCGTTCCCTTCATCTACCAGGCTTGTAATTCTGTCAAAAAACGAGATCAGGTTAGTCTGACATGACTTATTTTTCAGAAATCCATGCTGACTATTGGTGATCACAGCATTCCTTTCTAGGTGCTCACAGACTGTTTGCTTAATGATCTGCTCCAGAATCTTCCCTGGTATTGATGTCAGACTGACTGGGCGGTAATTATTTGGGTCCTCTCTTTTCCCCTTTTTGAAAATAGGGACAACATTTGCCCTCCTCCAATCTGCCGGGACTTCGCCTGTTCTCCAGGAATTCTCAAAGATGACTGCCAGTGGTTCTGAGATCACATCTGCCAGTTCTTTTAATACTCTTGGATGCAGTTCATCTGGCCCTGGAGACTTGAATACATCTAAACTAGCCAAGTATTCTTGTACTATCTCCTTAGTTATTCTGGGCTGTGTTTCCTTTGCTGAATCATTTGCTCCAAATTCTTCAGGTTGGGCATTGTTTTCTTTATCGGAGAAGACTGAGGCAAAGAAGGCATTGAGGAGTTCAGCCCTTTCTGTGTCCCCTGTTTGCATTTCACCATCTTCTCCTCTGAGTGACCCCACTGTTTCTTTGTTCTTCCTTTTGCTACGGACATACCCATAAAAGCCTTTTTTGTTGCTTTTAACCTCTCTAGCAAGCCTGAGTTCATTCTGTGCTTTAGCTTTCCTGACTTTGTGTCTACACGTGCTGGCTATTTGTTTGAATTCCTCTTTGGTGGTTTCCCCCCTTTTCCATTTTTTGTACACATCCTTTTTTAATCTTAACTCAGTTAAAAGTTCTTTAGATAGCCACCCTGGCTTCTTTAGGCACCTTCCATGTTTCCGTCTCATTGGTATTGCCTGACGTTGTGCTTTTACTATCTCCCTCTTAACAAACTCCCAGCCATCATGAACTCCCTTTCCTTTTAGTATTACTGTCCATGGGATTTCACCCAGCACTTCCCTAAGTTTTATGAAGTCGGCTTTCTTAAAGTCAAGAAATTGAGTCCTAGTATGCTTGGCTGCTCCTTTCCGCTGTATAGTAAACTTCAGAAGAGCATGATCACTCGCGCCTAATGATCCTTCCACTTCTACCCCACTAACCAGGTCATCAACATTGGTTAGGACGAGATCTAAAATGGCTGTTCCTCTTGTTGCTTCTCCCACTTTCTGGACAATGAAGTTGTCTGCAAGGCCAGTGAGGAATCTGTTTGACCTTATGCTCTTGGCTGAGTTTGACATCCAACAAATATCCGGGTAATTGAAGTCCCCCATTACTACTATCTCCCTTCCTTTTGCATGCTTGGCCATCTGTTCCAGGAAGGCATCATCTATGTCCTCCGTTTGGCTTGGGGATCTATAGTAAACTCCCACAATGAGGTCTCTGTTATTCTTCTCTCCCTTAATTTTGACCCAAATGCTCTCACTTTGGCTTTGAGGTTCTAAATCTTGGATCTCTTCACAGGTATACACATCCCTGACATATAACGCCACTCCTCCCCCTTTCTTGTCTGGTCTGTTTCTCTTAAATAGATTGTATCCCTCCATTATTACATTCCAATCATGGGACTTATCCCACCAGGTTTCAGTGATGCCTATTATGTCATATTTAGTTTGCTGTACCAAGAGCTCAAGCTCATCTTGTTTATTTCCCATGCTTTGCGCATTAGTGTACAGACATTGAAGTCCATTAATCATTCCCCCGTGTCTCTTATTTAAGGATTTTTTCCTCCCACCACTAGGTCTGCATGCTGTTTGCTCCATTTGGTCTATGACATTTGGATGATCATCTTCATCAATTGATAGACTCCTACCTTCAGGAGCATTGTCTCCCTCCCCCACATTAGTCAGTTTAAAGCCCTCCTGATGGGGTTTCTGAGGTTTCTGAGATTTTTGGCAAAAACATTCCTCCCAACCGTTGTGAGGTGCAGCCCATCGCTTGCCAGAAGTCCATCTTCAAGAAACTGCAGTCCGTGATCTAAGAATCCAAACCGTTCCTGTTTACACCATTTGCGAAGCCAGCTGTTCACTTCCACTATTTTTCCCTCTCTCCCTGGGCCACGTCGTTCAACTGGGACTGAGTGATGGGAGTGGAGATGCCCTAAAGCCATTTAGGGCTTTAAAGGTCAGCACCAACGCTTTGAATTGTGCTCGGAAATGTACTGGGAACCAGTGAAGATCCTTTAGGACTGGTGTTATATGGTCCCAGTGGCCACTCCCGGTCACCAGTCTAGCTGCCACATTCTGGATTAGTTGTAGCTTCTGAGTCACCTTCAAAGGTAGCCCCACATAGAGCACACTGCAGTAGTCCAAACAAGAGATAACCAGAGCATGCACCACTCTGGGGAGACAGTCTGCAGTCTCAGCCGGTGTACCAGATGGAGCTGGTAGACAGCTGCCCTGGACACAGACAGTTCACAGATCCACAGCCATCCCCTCACTCTGGGCAACTTGTAGCCAAGGGAGGCTACAGGCTTCTCTCGCTGTACCAACAAGCTATTGCCACTGTTTTAGCATCAAGGTACAAAGAGGCTCTGTCAGCCCAATGACCCTAAACAGCTCAGATCTAGCAAACAGAAATATAAAAATCAGAAGGATATACAATCACCTTGCTACATTATTTTATTATCATGCTGTCTATTGTTATGCTTTGTGTTATGTTTTTATTATTAGGCTCTACAAAATGTGTTCTTAATGCTGTACATCGCCCTGAGATCTTTTGGAAAAGGTTGGAATATAAATTATAATTTGAACACATTTCTTATAAATGTCAACTTTGTGTGGATACCTATCTGGACTGCATAGATCTATCTGTTTAAATTAATATAGATATATTTATGGTTATTTTTCATGTATGTTAATATGAGCTAAGGGTTTCCCTCACTTCTCTTAATCCACCCTTTTTTCTTCTTCGTTCGTTCTTCCTTTTGTTTAGAGGGAAGATAAGGGAAATTTGTAAATATATTTGAATCGGATATGCAGTAATAAAAAGATATAAAATAAATAACCACAGAAAGGAGGGGAGGGAAGTTGAAGGGTAGCTAAATTAGATTTGTATAGATTTTGTTTTCTATATGAAGGAAGGAAATGCTCTCCAGGAGCTCATATAACATGACCAAGTGTTGTAAAATGTATTATACGAAGGAGCCCTTAACCATCAGAATCTTTAGCTGAGCATATTATAATACCACAACAAGTGTGAGGAAAACCTTTCCTAAACTTTCTTTGTTTTCACACAATTTTGCACAATTCCACAACACTCCTGTCGCTAGCAGAGTTAAATCAACCATGAGGCATTACACACGGCAATACCGTTTTTAACAATTCACTCAGCAAAAGGTCCACGACATGTCTGAAAGAAAGTGACGACATGCACATGCAAACTCAATAGGCTATTTGGAATCTGGAAATCTCTTACCTGGTTAATTACATATATACCATAATCAAGCTGCTGCCTTTGAAGGATTGGATGAAGATAATACAGCCAGTATTTCAAGTGTTCATCTCGATTTCTGAACGGGATGATAAGCGCCACTTTCTGAAGCGCTCTGCATTCCTTTGGGGCGTAGCGTCCTCCTTCCCTGACTTCTGGGTTGTCCTCTGCCACTTTCTTCAAATCCACAGTCAGCGAAAACTCCACACGCAAAGGGCCAACTGGGAGGGAGGGAAAAACCACAAGACAAGTCAGACAAGACAATGGTGTGAGATCGTTGGCGCCTTGTTAAAGAAGTGTGATAGGTTTGCAAAAAGTCTCCTAAAGAACAGGGGTCCAGAATTTCATTCTGGATACATTTATGGAGGACAATGTATTAGAGAAGTTTTAGCCTGATGATTCAGAAACGGCAACCATTTTAGGCACCTTCAATTGATGCCGCCAACACACAGGACCTTCTGAATCCGGAAGAAGGCAAAACGGGGGCAGAACAGGGCAAAATTGGGGCGGGGAGTGGGGCGGGCCTTATACGTGCCCCGTATAAAACACAGGGGGCGCGAACAGAACCCCCGTGAGAAATCATTGCCATCTGTACTTGGGTCACAAAGGTCTCTCATCCAAGCTATGGGTGGATACAAGTTGCCAGTCCCCTTCGTAGATGCTACCACACAGCTTAAACTGGATACAGTCGTACCATGGAAGTCGAATGGAATCCGTTCTGGGAGTCTGTTAGACTTCCAAAACATTTGAAAACCAAAGCGCAGCTTCTGATTGGCTGTAGGAAGCTCTTGCAGGCCAATCAGAAGCTGCGGAAGCCGCGTCGGATGTTCTGGTTCCAATGAACATTCACAAACTGGAACACTCACTTCTGGGTTTGCGGCATTCAGGAACCAAAGCGTTTGAGAACTAAGCTGTTTGAAAACCAAGGTACAACTGTAGTTATTTATTTTCTTTTTTTCAGAATGAAGCATTTTACTTACAGTTTTTATTCTCCCCACCTTTTTGTTTTTGTTACAACGGCAGCCCTGGTAATATTGTACCACTTCTTTACACGCAGGCACAGTCAGATACTTCGGAGGCCTTGATGCATCTCCAGCCCTGATGATCAATGCTAAGACAGCAAGACTACAGTGTAGTTAACACTGTGAACTACAGATACGCATGGAGGAGGAATCTGTTTTAAACAGATTTCTATGTGGAACTTGGCAGTTCCAACCTGACTGAGCTTTGCTTTCATTGGCGTGCCTCTTATATTGAATGCCTGCTTATCTCCAAACTGAACGTGCACTGTAAGTTGACTCATTGTACGCCAAAAATACGAACATTTGACATCTGCTGTGTATAAAGCCTCATAGGGTACTACATTTCTGTAGCACAGTTTTATAAGCAGCTAATAGTTATATCTATAGACGGTCCCTGCACAGAGGGTTACAGTTTGAAAGACATGGCACAAAAGGTAAAATGAAGGAGGAGGGGAGAGGAAAACAAGCAGACACAACCAGGAATTCTTAACATTACACAGCAGTTCACAGCTACAACAGAAACAGCTCAGGAAGAGGAAGTGTCCAATGGAAATGAGTTATTGATCATGGTCTGAAGGCGCCCAAGACAACAACCTTGCTGAGTCAGGGACTGGTCAGGTAGGAGACCAAGTGTGGATGAAATGTGGGGTGTGGGGTGTGGCATGATAAAATCCTGCTTTCAGGCTTCCTGTAGTCATCTGGTTGGCCACTGTGAGAACAGAGTGCTGGACCAGAAGGCATGCTGACCCGATTCAAAAGCGTTCTTAAAATAGAAGTCAACTTGGCATGATCACTTTGCCTAACCGTCGTCCACCCACTTCTATCTGGAACCAATACACAGCTGCTGAAGATACAAGGCAGCAATGTATACAGCCATTCTTAAACAGTCTTGAACATTTTCACTTCTGGGGTGTGTGTGTGTGTGTGTTTTGAACTTTAGGTACTAACCACATGCAAAACAAAACCTCTTTGGGGTTTAGCTCAGCCCCGAAACTACAACTCCTAAAACTCCTTTACCAGAATTCTAAAGCAAAATGGGTTTCTGGTATTGTAAGTTGCCAACGGACTTGCCTGGCTCCAATGCACACTTTTAGCAGAAACAAAGGGAATCCAGTAGCCTTTCAAAATAACATGACTGGCTCAGGATACTGGAATAGACTCATGTAGAAGGAGACACCAGGCGTATTCAACCTTCTTAAGGGAAATTAGATGCACTAGTGGTAGACTTTGTGATGTATGGAAGTGACAGCTGGACCATAAAGAAAGCTGATCGCCGAAGAATCGATGCTTTTGAATTATGGTGCAGGAGGAGACTCTTGAGAGTCCCATGGACTGCAAGAAGATCAAACCTCTCCATTCTGAAGGAAATCAGCCCTGAGTGCTCACTGGAAGGACAGGCCGTGAACCACACGCGTGCATTTAGGACGGAGGTAATGGGTCATTCACAAAAGAGGGGGCACATGTTCCCATAGGGTAGGACTGGCAGAAAGCTGTCAGGGAACTGACATCGGAGCCAGAGGCGGAGGCAAGGCTCCCAAGCGATGCTGGAGAAGGGCCCAGCAGGGAGAGAGGCAGCTCATCAGCTGGGGAAGGAAATGAGCATAACACCAGGGATAAAGGGGGGCAGATGGGAGAATCGGCGAGGGGGCTCCAGGACTCCTCGCCGGAGACCAGTGAGGAGAGCACGGGTCCTCCGCTACCCACACCCTCTCTGCGCAGAAGACTTCCGCGCAGAGAGAGTAGGAGGAGACTTGGAGTCAAACAGCTTTTATGCTGGAAAAGGTTTAAGAAACGCCCACTGACGGATTCTGCTAGCGACTGAAACAGCCACGAAGTGAAGGGCTGTCCAGACAGAAAAGGCTTAACCAGGCACACTAGCCAGGAGTGGCGGCAACTTACGCACGAGCAACCCCCTATAATCATTACAAAAGCTTTTGATTCTGTTTGGATGTGAGTAAAGACAGTCTGCCCACCTTAAAAAAATAAAATAAATCTGCTTCTTGGCAGGGTGAGCTCGACCATTTCCTTTCATATCTTAAGGAACTAAGAAGAGCAATGCACTAACATGCCTGCCAGTTTAATAAAACCAGCCATCACAGAATCATTCTAGCTGGGCAGATAAAAGAAAACAAGTACAGATAAGGGCAAGGAGCAGGAAATTTTGAACATGGAGGTGTGGAAAACCCATATGTGAGCTTGGCACACACGACACTGAAGCCAACTTTCATTGTGCTGAGATTTGCCTCCATATCTTACTTCCCGGTTCCTTCTTCAATCATTTCCAAGTCTCTAGATAAATATACATAGGCTGTGCTGGTCATTGATCATAATAAAAAAAAAATGACTTGATACACAGGGTGGGGTGAAAGTTGCCCAATCTTTTACTGTGTATAATAAACAGATACTTGTTGTGTTTGGCCTGGGAGGGGCAGCAGGGCAGAAGAGGCAGGAAAAACCAGGACAGAGAAAGATCCCCTATACTGGGCCAGCAGTGTTAGAAACTCAGATATATAAGCTAAGCACCAATGACTTCTTAAACCAAGGTTACAGTCTCCAAAATGGAATGTCTCATTGCCATTTTGGTGCAAGACAGCTCTAAAGTTTTATTTTTTTCCAAATGATGGACTGGCTGTGATTGATTCTGAAGTTAAACATCTGCCACTTCAGACGACTACCTTGAGCTAGGTGAAGAGCTTAAAGAAGAAAAGTCAATTGATGGTGGAGGTATCAGGCATCATCCTGGTGTCCCGGCACTTTCACTTGGTCGGGGCGCACCATAGGGCACACCTAGTTTGGGGGGGGAATAAAGACTTTTTTTATTTCCCCCGACCCCAGCCCCCAGAACAGGCTGCTATCCGCAAGCCTAGGGAGCCCGGCGTGACGTCACGCCGGTCTCCCCAGGCTTGCGGAGAGCTGCCCAAAGCCCGGGGTGCGCTCCGCTGCGCGCCCCAGGCTTCGGGATACAGGCAGCTCTCCGCAAGCCGTGAGAGCCCGGTGGGAACTCCCGCGGGCTCCCAAGGCTTGTGGGAGCGAAAGCCTGCACTTGCCCCATAGGACGCACACACATTTCTCCTTCATTTTTGGAGGGGGAAAAGTGCATCCTATAGGGCAAAAAATACGGTAATTTTGAACACTGGTTTGTGGCACAAGACCTTCCAGTCGTCAATATTTGTGCCCCCTGAATTTGCTGGTATGTGAACATAGCGATAGCCTGGAAACACCCCTAGCCTCCTTTATTATGTCTGGCTTCCAGCTTTCAAAGCTAGATTTGGGCTAGAACCACCGGGACAGTAAAAGAGCACAGAGGAAAATCACTCAGAGAATGTTGCATTTGTCCACGCACTCCAATCTGTGACAGATCTGATTAATAGTGAAGACCACATCAAACTGCTGAAGGACAAGGGGCATCCCCTCTCTGCAGGGATAATTCTTTCAAAGTTTGCCTTCCTGGGACACTCTGACACAGCATACAGTACATAATATGGAAAACAAGCCACTCCTGCACAGTTGCTCTTATGCAATATAATTAATCATCCACAAATCAAGGTAATCTTAGACTGTGCCAAGATATAAAGCGCTGAGAAGTCCGGGAACAGGAAAAGCCAAGATAGCGGGCTTGCTTCATTTGGGAGTTTTCCCCAGTTTTTGCAACGGAGCAGATTTTCAACAGCCTCAACTATTTCACAAGAGGACTTTTATCCACATTATAAATACAGTCCCATCTGCAACCAAACGCCCATGGCCACGATTCTGGAAAAACTAGTGAATGACGACAGACATGGATGAGAGAGGCGCACTCTTCAATTAGAGCAGATTGGAGCATACACTGTCTATGCTAAAGGTCAGGCTCGGCTGTGCACACACAAACAATGTTGTTAAACGTGCATCTGAGCATGTTTCCAGTATTCACACTCTTCACGGGTACATCTGTGTTCATGTGCCTGTTCATGTGTTCAGCAGTAATGCAGAAAAAAACTACCCTACGTCTTCCAACATAACTAGCGCATGTTTGAAACCATACTAAATATAGTTGCAGGACAGATTTCTCAATTTGGTTAAAAACTCCTTTTGGGGGAAATGCACCAAAATGGAGTAGGTAAAGGAAAAGGACCCCTGGACAGTTAAGTCCAGTCAAATTTGACTATGGGGTTGCAGTGCTCATCTCTGCTTTCAGGCCGAGGGAACCAGCGTTTGTCCAC